CTAACCCCTAAATCCCTCAATCACTATATAGAGCAAAGACTACATAGTGGAGTAATAGTAAATTCGGTTCACCGTTCAGACAGATGATCACTACTTTTTACTTCCAGTTGGTCATGTGACTCCGCCTCCCCGCATGGTGGCTGCTCCATCTTTGTTCTTCCTCGCTGCCTAAACAAATCCCATGATGCTTTGCGGGGAGGGGCACTGTGAGAAATTTCAGGTCCACTACTTTTTTTGTGCAATAGACGTTAGGACACTGATCTAAAATGGCGTAACCACTATATAGTGCCCTATTATAGTGATTAGGGCGGACGTTCAGACACAGCCGAAGCCAGTGTTATGAGCTATTTCTGTCTGGCAATAATCAGAAGTGTTCTATAATGTAATCTGTAATGTCTAAGAAAATACCAGGAATGTATTTAAAAGTATTATTACCATTATTGAATAAAATTTGATTTTCCTATACTGTATATTGATAGTGAATTATTATCCAGAACTCTTCACAAACAGCTTACCAACTTGCCACAATCGACTGCAGTGGAGGGTTGATGATATGGGCTTGTGAAGCCATTTGTCTAAAAGCTAAATCTTGATTCTAATTGTTTCATTGTTGGAGCAATAAGATGGGAGTCTTTAAAGACAGAGATGGCAAACCAGAGTCCAGACTACAAGAGAGCTGTACAAACCACGACAGAATTAAGAAAATTATATTAATTCTAAAAAATTATAAACTTATAAAAAAGTCCAAAATGCTTTCCTGTCGATGTATAAACTCATAAAGCTGGAGAGAAAATGATTGCTGAAAAAGACTAACAACAACAGTTATTCTGCCTCATCAGTAAACATGAAAAGTTTTAACTTCTCCTGTCTACTCTGAGACAGGAGAAGCTAAGAAAGAGAAACAAACTGCAGACTCTAATGAACTGAGGTGTCTGTCTCTATAAACCAATGAACACATTTTTATATTTTTTTTTTATTGAGGTCATGCTGTCTTGTCACCGTTTCATCTAGTGAAATAATTTTTGATTCAGCTCATACGGTCACAGTGACCGGTGTTTATACCAGTAGAGACATGGTGGCCCCTTTCTGTAGTGTCATTCTTCACAGCAACAGAACTAGACAGTCTAAAAGTTTCTCAAAGGACTGAACATTTAAAGAATGCCAAACATAAAATGTTGGGATCTTAGAATTATTTCCCTACTTAGTTCCTGCCCTTTGTCATTCCTTGCCTTACAGTAACATCGAGCTGACATTGATCTATATTTTTTTTTCTTTATTAAAAAGACTTTCAACCATGGCCAGAAAGGTGTGATTAAAAGTTCAGGGACACAGAGTTGATCTTTAATATATAGCAGCAGAGCAGACCTAGTTTCTCCATGCATTTGTCTTAGTTAGCAGCTTTTCAGTTTTTGTACCTTTCATGCTTTACTGCATTTTTTCCTGACTCTGCACCGCTAAAGTTCACTTCTGTCCTCTGCTGGTTCGTCCTGTGTCCCTTCAGTAGACAAACCCTGACTCCCATTTTGGTTTACAAAACTTCCAAATGTACTTTTCCTGTTCAACGATTTTAGATAATGTCAGAGGAGGTTCTAAGGGATCATTTAAAGATGTACAGTAAGGGGTAATCTCTTATAGGAAAAACTTCCATGAAAGATTGTAAAGATGTCAGAATTCCTGCTTTACTTTGTTAGGATAATTATAATTTATGATGTGTGAGTTTATTACACCTTAATATTAGCTGCCTATTGCGTGTCAGTTCTGATGTTTTCCCCAGTAGTTTATCTAATTAGGCCATTTCCGTCTATGTACAGTTATAATCTTTGTTATTTATGTGGCAAAGACTTGGGAATGGAATGAGAGTGGTTTCCTTCAGCTAAGAACAAAGTGTAATATTTTGATAAGGCTGGAGCCATGGATGCCTCCTCATCTGCAAACATGTATGATGTAAATGATGTGATGATGTGGCAGACTGAAGTTGTATAAAATGCTTCTTTAACTCTTCCTCTCTTCATGAGAGGTGAGCCCAGTTGGTAAGTAGCTGCCTTCTGTAACCCTAAGCAACTTCTCTGATCTGAGTAAGATTATAATTTCTATCAAAATCTGTTGACATGTCTCCTGGTTATTTAATACATATACGTTATGAAGTGTTATTTAAAGAGTTTTTTCCTCAAATGATCTCTTTCCAGGAAAACAAACCAGAGAGAGAAAGATTCAAGGTGAAGAAACACAGCCTGTCTTTAACAACTTTTTATTTTAACCAACATACAGCTTATAGTTCCAGTAATTTGTTGCTAAGATCTTACACTGAGGATCTATGATTTTAAGCTTTTGCCTGTCAATACAAAGTCATACATACACAAATACTCCCACTAATATTTAGAAAGCAAGGGGTTAAGCTCATCTAGACTGAATGGTCTTCTTGCAAAGCTTAGCTATTAAGTTAAGTCCACAGAATTGTTATTTAGGATCACTGCTAAAAAAAAAAAAAAAAAAGTGGCTTAAGTTTTGAAAGATTTACCCATATATTCTCTACTACACCAAACTACTAAGACAAATTAGTAGGACTGGAAAGGAACCCCATATAGATACCCATCTATGTAAATACCCATGTAAATACATGGGGCAATACCCCTATATAATAATCCTGCTAAATAAGAGACTTCCGCTGT